CAACAGAACAGAGTATCTGTGAAATATGAAACAACTAAAAAAGTACAGCACAGGTTGATGGGAATTAAAGGAGGGGGAGTAAAAATAAAGAAAGAAAGAAGAGGAGAAAAGGGAGAAGAAGAAATATTTAAAATAACAACCACTGGGAATTTCTCCCAAATTAATGCCAGGCACTAACCACAAATCAGGAAAGCTCAGAGAAGGGACATAGAACAGAATACTGTACATGCCCCCAAAGTACCCTATGCATATCATTTTCAAACTACAGAAAATCAAAGATAAAGAAAAAAATCCTGAAAGAAGCCTGAGGGAAAAAAGACTTTATCTATAGAGGAACAAAGATGAAAATTAACATTCAACTTCTCTGCAGAAATCATGCAAGGAAGAAGAGAGTGGAGTAGAATATTTATAGTGTTAGGAGAAAAACTGGTCAACCTAAAATTCTGTAACACAAAATTATCCTTCAAAAGGAAGAAGAAATAGACTCTCAGGTAAACAAAAATTGAGGATATCTGTGGACAGTACACCTGCTTTGCAAGAAATATTAAAAGAAATTCTTTAGAAAGAAAGAAAATGATAATGATAAGAAACTCAGATCTATTTAAAAGAAGAGCATTAGAGACAGAACAGTGAAGGTGAAATAAAAACTTCTATTTTTCTTATCCTTTATTAATCTAACAGCAATTTGTTCAGAATAACAGTGTGTTGGTTTATGTATAGGTGTGTGTGTGTTCTAAATCAGTAAAATGAATGATAGCAGTAATACAAGGGACAGGAATGATAAGTTAGATTTTGTTATTTTATGGTAGTAGCACCACTCATGAGGTTGTTATTGTGTTAGTCAGCTTTTCCTTGCTATAACAAATACCTGAAATAATCATAAAGACAAGCCGGGTGTGGTGTGTACGCCTATAATCCAGTACTCAGGAGGCTGAGGCAGGAGGATGGTTGGGAGTTCAAGACCAGCCTGGGCTACAAACTGAGCTCAAGGCCAGCCTGAACTGCAGAGCTAGACTCTGTCTCAAAAAGACCAAAAAAAAAAAAAAAAATCATAAAGAGGAGGCTTATTTTGGCTCACAGTTCTGAAGGATTCAGTCCATAACTGGTTGGCCCTGCTGCAAAACTCTAGCACATTATACTTGGGCTTATATTTTTGGTCCTAATCTCAAGTGTTAGAGAACCTTATTAAGAAAATACATATAAAAGCAATAATAAATGCATAAATAGGTTTGTTTATATTTTTACAATTGTATGTCTCGAAGTAGCTCATAAGCTCTTTAGAACACAGGCTAACCATTTCTGCTTTATAAAATCATCAAAGTTCTTTGCACAGTGATAAAATAGCTTCTGTGAAGTTACAATGGAAAATATGCCTTTTAAAACTTAATCTTGGGTATACAAAAATTTAATTACTGTCTTATTTTAATTTTGAAAACCAAATCAGCATGAAAGTTTACATCTTTGTAATTTCTAGATAAAGCAGCATAGAATGATCAAAAGTCACGAAATTTTTTTCAGATTACATCATGAAACCTCAAACATAAAATAAACACTTAAAATAGGACATACATCATAATAAAGTGTGACTTATAGTAGGAATGCAAGGTTGGTACATGCGAAAAAAATCAACCAATGTAATATGCCATATTCCTGGTCTGAAGGAGATTTTTAAAACTCATGATCATCTCTACAGACCTGTCCACAAAAAAAACACTAACAAAAATCAACTTCCCCTTTTTCTGTTTGTTTGTTTTTTTCCAGTACAGGGAATCGAACTCACGACCTTGCGCTTCCTTGCGCTTGCCAGGCAGGCGCTGTGCCGCTGAGCTAAATCCCCAGCCCCTAACTTCCCTTTATGATTTAAAAAAGAAAAAAACAAACCAGGAATAGAAGAAAACTTCCTCAACCCAATAAACAGCATCTGTGAAAAGCCAGCAGCTAATACCATAAGTAATGACTGAAAGCTTTCCTTCTAAAAGTGGGAACAAGAAAAGAATATCTGCTCTCACCACATCTGGTCAGAGCAATTATGCAAGAGAAAGAGATAGAAGGCACCCAGATTGGGCAGGAAGAAGTAAAGAAAGTTCTTTACACATAACATGATTTTGCATACAGTAAATCCCAAGGAGCCTACCAAAAAAAATTACAACTAGTAAACTAGTTCAGCAAAATAGCAGAATACCAGATCAATATACAAAAATTGAGTTAGCAATGAAAATCGGAACATGAAATTAAGATAACAACTGCATTTATAAAACCATCAAAAGAATAAAATACTTAGATCTGAGCAGGTGGCACATGCCTATAATTGCAGCACTCTAGGTCACTGGGGCAGGAGGATCTCCAAGTTTGAACCCAGCCTTAATGAGATCTGGTCATACAATTTTAAAAGGGGTTGCAAGTATATGGTTCAGTGCAAAGACCCTGGGTTTAATCCCAGTACCAAAGGTGCAAGACTTATATACTGAAAACTACACAGTTCAGAGTGAAGATGATCTAACTGCTGACATACAGTGTACATGGACTGGAGAAACTCAAATTAAGATGACAATATTCTCTAAAACAGCTTATAGAATCACTGCAGTCTCAAACAAAATTCTAGCTGTCCCCTCTCTTTGAGAGAAATTGACAAGCTGATGCTGAATTTCACAAAAAAAATGTAAGAGATTCAGAATAAAACAATATTGGAAAAAGAAAGTTGAAGAACTCACACTCTGACTTCAAAACTTACTATAAAGTTATATTAGTCAAAATAGTATGATACTAGCATAAGAATAGACTGATTAATGCAACAATTGAGAGTGCAAAAATAAATCCATACATCTATGGTTGACTGATTTTCACAAGGGTGCCAGTATAACTCAATGAGGAAAGAACAGTCTTTTCAACAAATTTGTAGGACAAGTGGGTATCTGTGTACCAAAGAATGAAGTTAGCTCTTTACCTTACATCACAATAAAAATTAATTCAAAAGGAAACTAAGACAAATTTGAGAATTAAAACTATAAAACTCTTAGAAGAAAACATAGGTATATGACATTATCTTGAATTAAGCAATGGTTCAATGATACATAAAGTGCATGCAACCAAAGGAAAAATAAACAGGACTTCACTGAAATCTAAAACTTTTGTACATCAAGAACACATCAAGAAAGTAAAAAAGATAACCTATGGCACTGGTGGCAAACCTATGGCACACAGGTTATTTGTTTTTAAGACAAAAGATGTTAACATATGAGTTGTTTTTCTAAACTAAAACCTCAGTATTCAGGTTTAACTGCAGCGTTGGCACTTTGAGATAAATAAGTGGGTTTTGTGTTGCAGTTTGGACATTTGGTCTCTAAAAGTTTCACCATCACTGGCCTATAGAATGGCAGAAGATATCTGCAAATCACCTTGTCTGGTAAGGATCTTATATACAGAAACATAAAGAACCTTCAAAAATCAACAATAAAATAACCCAGTTTAAAACAGAATGGAAATGGGGAATTATTGCTTAATGGTAACTGTTTAAGGTAATAAAAAAAAAAGCTTTGGAAACAAAGTAATGGTTGCACAACATTGTGAATATAATTAATACTACTAAATTGCATACTTAAAAAGGCAAATGCTACATTATATATCTCTTATCATGATTTTTAAAATAATGTAATATACCAACAACATTTTAATTATATGCAGTAAGTGGATAATTTGTATGTGAATTATATGTCAATAAAGCTCCCATAAACCAGAAGGAAAAAATGAGCTCTCAAACTCTGAAAAGACAGAGGAATCATATGTGCCTACTGCTAAGTGAAAAACTAGTCTGAGAAGGCTACATATTTTATGACATATAAAAAGGCAAAATTGTAGAGACTGATGGTTTCTGGGTGTTCAGAAGGAGGAGAAAAATAATTAAGAGATGGATCACAGGGCATTTTTAGGGCACTGAAACTATTCTGTATAATACTGGGTAAGAGACATAGGATATTGCACATTTTTCAAAACCCACAGAGCTGCACAATACAAATTTTAGTTAATTATATCAATATTGGCTCATCAGTTGTAACAAATGTACCATATTAATCCAAGATGTTAATGGGAGAGATCACGAATGCGTAGGAAGGGTGCTGTTCAGACTGTATGTATAGCTTTTCTGCAAACCTAAAGCTGCCCTTTAAAAAGATTTGCTTTTAAAATGCACACTTAACAAAGAGACTGTATTAAATTTTACTCTCTTTTGATTCATCAGATTATTCACTTTAAACCCAAATTAAAATTTTACACTAGATGGACAGGAAGTGGCGATTCTTCTACCACTGTGGAGAATCAGGCACTACTGAAGTATCTCGATATTCTATATATCCTTTCCCCACTTCACCTCCTGTTCCACCCCCAACAGAATTATTTTATGATCTAAATTTCCATACTCATGTAACTATTTCCAATATAGGAAGACAGGCTTTGAAGATTCCATAGCCTTTGGGAACATTTCATTTATTTGTAACTAAGTTCCAATGTAATTATAATTGTAAATTACAGTGACATTATTATACTAAATTGTCAATGCCTCCTATTTTTTCACCTGATTCATTTTCTGAGGTATCATCTTATCAGAAACCTAAGTGTGTTAGTTTTTCTCTTGAGAAAAATATTGTTTTCTAAACACAGCAGAGTCATTCAAAGGATTAACTGTTCCAGAGGACCAGGGGCTGGCATATCTGAGAACAATCATTAACAGGGCATGGTGGCACAGACCTGTAATCTCAGCATTCTATAAGGCCAAGGCAGGAGGATTACAAGTTTGAGCCTAGCCTGGGCAATTTAGCAAGACTGTCTTCAAATAATAATGGTGATAATGATGATGACGATGATATTGGGATATAGTTCACTGGTTCAAGCCCCAATACAAATAAAACAAAATAAAAACAAAAATCTCTTCTCTGTTCCTGATTTAAAAGGACCTTCTCAAACTCCTAATCCTTATTGGTATACTGTACAACTTCTTTAACTGTTACCTTGGTCTTTTCCAGCTTCGTCTATGTGTTGAAAGTCTTTTAGCATTTGAAGGTTAAAGAACCCCTCTCTGCAATGCTGAATAACTTTCTTTGATCCATTCTTAATGAGATAATCCATCAGGGTGAGGGATTTATACACATGGCGCCAGTTTTTCCCGTGGTCACTGAGTCTCTGCCATAGCATATTCATAATCTCTGAGAGAGAAATGGTGTTGAAAGTCAAGTCACTGATATCTAGCATCAGAGAACTGGAGGGACCCCAAGGGTCATTAGAAGTTGCTTCCCTGACTTTTATTTCAGCATCTGAGTAATTTTTCACAAAGTTTTTCACTTGTCTCTTGAATGCCATAGGTAGGACAACGCTGAAGGTGAAATGGGGGATGAGAGCAATGGAATAGGAATGTGTGTGTGATTGGTTTATAAAATTCTCGACAGGTGATCAGTCCCCAGTTCTGTTGCTCCTAAGCACAAATGATTAATCTCCATGTTGATAACATATCGATTTCCTATAAGGCAAGCACAAAAAATGTGTAAGTTAAATTAAAAATCTAAGTCAGTCGGAAAATCTAGGTTTAGTGTCTAAATTAGCCCTTCACTTACATCAGCAAGAATGTTCCTAGGATGGGCACAGAAAAATCCCTCCTAAGTGTCTGGCCTATTAGGCAGTTTTTCTAGTCCTAAAAGTTCCTGCAGAAGATATCAGTCAACCTTTTTGGACAGAAATACAATGATTATAATAGATTACATGGGTAGTAGACAAATTAATGTAAAAAACAGCATCTGAACTCTGACATTTCCTGCATGATATATGTTGTCATATGTAAAACTATTGTGTCTGAAAGTAATTAAAATGGTGGGGAAAACTGGGCTTTAGATTCTCCTACGGAACTTTATAGAATAACAAAGTTATTATAATCACATCTAAATATTATCTACTTTCTCGTTAATCTCAAAGCAAGGAAGGTCAACTACTAAGACAATTACTTGTCCCTCAGTTTACTTCACAGCCAACTCATGGTAACCTAAAATCAATGCTGCAGTCCAGATGAGTCCAATAACTCACCTTTTTTTTTTTTAAAGTTCAGATTTAGTATTAAACAGTATCAGTAGTGATTCTCAAACATCCCCTAAAATCTTTATGATTATGTGTCTGATAGAGCTTTTAAAAAGTTCATACAAAGAGAAACCCATTTAGGTTGATACCAAAATGGATTAAAACATAAAAGGGGTATGCAGCCCTGACACTTTAGCTTGTGAGTTATCAATTACTGGTTTACATGAAAGCATCCCCTTTTCTCTTTTTAATTACTTTGCATCAAGGTGAGTCAGTTACTCTGCAATTTCCCTAGTGATTCACCACTGATGGCTACAGAAAGAATATGCCAAATTGATTTCAAGCCTGACCAGCATCCAGAACCAGCCAAGCCTAGACGATCTATAATCAGTTACTAGAGAAATTACACACATACCAAAGAAAAGAAAATGATAAGAAATCCATAACCAATGTTTATTTTTAGTTTTGTTTCTCTTCCTTGACCTTCTCAGCTACTAGCTGATTAATTTCTGTTTATGGAAGGAAGATATAAATATTCAGAAGCAATCTAAATGAACTATCACTTCTTTTTAAAAGGAGATAGTAAACCTTTTATAAAAAAAATATAAAATGCATGCTCAAATAAGCAAGACAGAGAATGTTATTGGTTAAATTAAGACCTCACAGAAAAGAGGCTACCATCAATTCTAGGACGAAAAAGACAAGTGTGTTCCTACAACTTTCTGATTTTTCTCTTGCTGGCACTTCAAATACATGCATTTTTATCTGATTCCCCACTGAAGCAAAAAATGTGGTACACAATGTTTTGTTCAGGTATTAAAAATGTGAATTTCTATTGTTATTTTTCCCCTCTTCCAAACTCATTCAATACAGAGATGCACTGTGACATTGGCTTAGAGCAAAAAATATTGATCTGCTTTTTCACAAGCCTATTTTCAAAAAATCTGTGAGAATCATAACTTGCTGGACTTAAACAACACCTATTAAAATCTCTTTTTGTTGTTGTTTTGTTTTAGGGTAGCTACTTATCTATATTTTGAAGAGCCAATCCTAATTTTAGGTTTTCTTAAATTCTCTAACCTGCATTCATAAATTTTGACATGTTTTCTTAAACAATTTTCTGCCCCCCAATATAAAAATAATCCTTCTACACCCAAATAGTTTAAAATGCATGTATTTGACACCTTGCCAAAATCAAATACCCTCCCAACCATCAGAAAAACTACAAAGAAAAAAGACTGTATAGGTAAATTAAGATCACTAATGTACAATGACATGAACTTTCCTTTGTGACATGTACACAGACCATGTAAGATGCCACTTTACTACAGTACTGCTAATTCTTTTCAGACTAACAAGGAATTTAATTAATTGGTGTTAGTTAAATTGTATGTCAGTTTATGTTTTAGACACCTGACTATGGTTTACTCGTATCAGCAAATAACCTTTAATTATGTGTTCAGTAACAAGCTGCATAACAAAGTTTTAATTAATGATGGACTGCATATGACAGTGGCCCCACAAGACTGTATCACCTAGTGACATCAAACCATCTTAATTTGTGAGTGCACTCAAATGACATCTGCACAACAACAAAATCACCTAACAGTATATTTCTCAGAATGTGCATTACCTGGCTATAGGGTGATATGATACCTGAGACAAAATTAATAGTAAAAAGGTAAATTTCCATACGAATCTCAGTTGTCTGGCTACCCATATCACTCTAAGAAATAGAGGGGAAAAGCTACTTCATGTCACAAATCTGTGCCGTCTCCTCTAAGGGGCTTTCACTGACCTCACTCACATTCCATTAATTTTCTTCATGGCAGTGAGAATGATCAAGTAGCTTTGTGTTAGTGGCTCACACTGCTCTGCTTCACCACAACTAGAAACTCCTTGAGGGCAAGGACCCTGGCCATCCTTTTTACCGCAGTACTCCTATGCTGATGAGTACATAGCAATAGTAGGTACTCAGAGACATGTGATGAGTAAATGCCCAAATGACTGAATAAGCCTGCTTTAAGATAAACCTGGAAGGATTCTACAGCTTTGAATTAGAGACATGGCATTTTAAAAACAAGACCTAACCCTTGTAGTTGTCAAGTAAAATTCTAGAATTTTGAGCAAATATTTTCAAATCAATCAAATACCTCTTGAGAACCTACTATTTATATAGCTTTGCAGAGAAACATAAAATATGATCACTATATTCAAAAAACTTATTGTTTGGTTAAGAAACTTTCTCCCTAAATAATTCAAAAGCAAATAAATGATAAGGTAAAAGGGGTCTCTTGATTTTCTGTTGAGATCTGCCAACTTTCATAATGCTATATTTGTCCCCCAATTTTACCTGAATCATAAGAGGAAATCATTTAAATTATCAGGTGAGCAAAAGACTTCTATATTTAATAAGCAAATTTAGTAGCATAGCTGGATACAAAGTCAACACTCAAAAATCCATAGCCTTCCTGGACATAAATAACAAACTCAGGGGCTGGGGATATAGCTCAGTGGCATAAGCACCTGCCTGGCAAGTGCAAAGTCATGAGTTCGAACCCCAGTACCACAAAAA